AAAGAGGAATTTTAACAAACCAGCTTTTAAGTGTCTTTATAACATGTCAAGTTATTTATACTAGGATGAAAACATTTTGCACATAAAAATGAATTTTAAAAGAGGATTTCAAAATTTTTTCATGTTATGAAATCCCTCCAAAATATCATTTTATTCATATTCAACACAAGTATCAACACAAAAAAAGAATGGCCAATCTCTCAAAAACAGTGTGATTCCGGACAGTTTCAATCATAGCAAAAAGAATTCATAAAGCAGAATATTTTGTTACCTCCATTTCAAGTTTGAAGAATTGAAAAAAATGACAATATGACCAACTTTGAACCATATGAAGCTCAAGCATAAACAAGATAGATAAATGTTCAGCTACCTCATTAGAGTTGTTTTGTCTGGAACATGATTGGCATAAGACCTGTCAAGGGGAATAGCTGTGGCAGTTGCACAACCAGGATACATGCTTTTTGAAGGCACCCCATCAAAGCACTTGGCATCTCCTTGAAGACCAGCAAAACGGCCCTGGTATTATTAAAAAATATTAATAAAATGCTGCTGTGTTCTTAGAAAGAATAGAAAATACTGAAATTCCACAAGTACAGGGGGACCAGAAAGCACTAAAGTAGCATTATTTTCATTCATAGTCAAACCAGATAGTCACCTTCCCATTTAAAAAAGACTCTCCAGTAACTTGCCCAGGAAATTTTGCCTGGACATAATTCTGGTTATCGCCTCTCAGTTGGGAAACATCTTGGGGCCTGGAATGTGAATGTGCTACATGTTTAATTCTGTAGGAAGGTTCCACCTCAACACCCAAATCCCCCATGGGATGATACTGAAATTTACGTGTTACAGGAGGTTTCCAACTAACATGGCTAGATGACTTCTGTTTCCCTCCATCTGGATCATTTCCATCCAACTGGACTTTTTCTCTCATGCTGCTACCAGAAGAGTGCTGGGATGCATTAGAGCGAAAACTGTCATTCGAGTTTTCTTTTATGTTGGAATTCTCCAACTCATGTGCTTCAACTGCTCCCTTGTCAGAGAAATTATTTTCAAATGACTCTAAAGTGTGAGCACTCTTATCTTCTTGATGCTGATATTCGGCTGAAACCCTGTTTAAACCAGAGTTTGCTGTGGAATCAATGCTTTTCCAGAGATTTAAATTATGACCATGTGCAAGCTGTTGGCTACTTTCCTTAGTCAACCGTGTAGTGATTGAATCTGTTTTGGCAGCAGCATTTTTTAGATTAGAACCTTCTCTATAAAACTGTGGGCTTGTCATGGCAGATTTCATATGCCCCATTTCGCCAGCCACATTAGAAATAGAATCAATCTTCAATGGACCACTGTTATGACCCTTTTCCTCATGGATGTAACTTTTTTTATTGCTACCCTGGAAATGTTGCAATGAGCCTTCATTTCCCTGATTTTCTGATAAGATACCAGCACCATGCAATGCAGACCCAATGAAGTTCCAACCATTCGGTTTATTGTATGGTTGACTACCAAGATTATGTGAAGCTATGCTTTGATGGTAACCCGAAATACTCTTCATGCTTGATTGGGAATTTGCAGAATGAGAAATATTTCCAAAGTGTTGACTGCTTTCATCTAAAGGTTTTTTCACAAGGCTGCGATCTAACCATTTAGTCTGTTCTTCTGGAGACTGCTGAGGAAATCTCTGAGAAGAATCATTCTGCAGTCTTTCACTCTGTCTAACTGTAGCCTGAACTGCTAATTGTTGCACACCAGGAAAACTAGAATAATTAAGATTTGTATGACCATCAGCAGGAGTAAAAGATCGAGAATTAAGTGTTGAACCAGTCTGCACTGTGTTATCAGCCCAGGCTGATTGCTTTTTGCTGCCATCATTGACAGTTGAGGACTGCTGATTTCTAGCAGGAGGTTCATTATTCTGCAGACTCAAACCATCCCGCTCCTGTATACCTACGTCACTACTTGAAGTTTCAGCTACAGCTGACTGCATAAGAGCACTCCAGCTTCCACTTTGCAGAGAAGGAAAGGAACCAAAAGTGTCCGTAGCATCCAACAGTGAGCCCATGTTGGAACCCTTTCCAAAAACATCCCAGATGCTGTCATCTGAACCAAACAAAATCTTTTCTTCAGTTGGATCTAGGGTTGTGACATTCTGAGAAGAGGAAGCCGGAATCACCGACTTCTCCATGGATGCTTCTGATGGACTGGCAATTTCTTGCCGCCCATTAAATTCCGACATCAGTGAATTTATTTGCTGGGTATTCATGTATTGCAAGGTTTCCAAATTATGCCCACCATTGAAAGCTTGACCAGCATCTGGCCCAAAGATGCTTCTGCTCTGGTCACCATGTTTAAGAACTGAAGTTCTGTCCCGCAGACTTCCTTGATCTGGCGGGGCAGCATATTGATTGCCTTGAAAAGCATTACCAGTGGCTGATACCTGCTGCATTGAAGGCTTATCAACTTGGACAGAAGAATATTGACTTGCATTGCCTCTTGTGCCAGTGATAGGGACACCATAAAGAGATTGATCAACCTGCTGAGGAATTAAACCCATCAAATGCGCCTGGCCTTGCTCAGTGGAAAACATAAATCCACTAGAGGATCCTTGCATAACCGTAGAGGCACCATTCTGCAGCCAATTTTCACTGCCCGTCACAAGTTCAGGCTGCCACGAACAACTAGACACATCATGGGTTAAAACACCATTGACAGAAACCTGTGAGAGATTGCCTGATCCCTGTTTTGCAATGGAGGAAATCTGATTGATGGGATTCAAATGACTTGCTTCATGTTGCTGAAACCGTGGCTTCTGAAGCTGTTGCCTATGAAGTTCTTGCATTTGCTTAAGCATGACATGCTGTTGTAGCAAATGCATGTCATTAATCCCTGACTGCTGTCTTGGCAAAGGTTGCAGCATGCCAAGCTGTTGTGCACCAATCTGCTGTTGACTTCCAAAAAAATCATAATTGACCGGAGATTCAGTAGATTCCAAGCTAGTTGAATTTTTCTCATGAAGTTCAGGGCCATTTCCCATCTGTGACTCAAGAACTGATAAGCTTCTTGACGTTGTATCCACTCCCAAAAAGTTTGTTTCACTCTGCCTTGACTGGAAAGTCTGATGCCCTTGCAAATAGCCATTGACAATTGGTGATTGATTTTGAGATGAACCTCCAGCAATTTCAGACCTCAGAGATGATTGCATAAAGTTTAAGCCATGCTGCAGGCGTAAAGACTGATCTCCATGTTCTCTTTCAGAATCAGCTGGTGCCAAAAGAAAATACAATCATTTTTTAACCCAAAAAAAAAAAAGAAGTTGGCTCAAAGCATGGCTCAAAGCATACATAGTGCACTTCAAAATCACATGACCCAAGTATTATGGTTATAATAAGAAATGGACAGAATAATGTCAAATGTAAAATTGTAAGTGATAAGGAAACCAACAGTAGCAATTTAAGATCAAACAACTAGGATTTGCTTAAGTGTTACCTAATTGCTGTAAGTTATAGTTCTTCAAATTAGAAAGAAGAGGTCCACCAATTTGTCTCTGATTTCCAACCCACAGATTATTATTCAAGCTGGGCCAGGCCCCGTCAGTGACTTGTGAATGATGTTGGCCTTGTGACACACCCTCTTGGCCAAGGAAATTATGTATCCTGTCTCCAACTTCGTTGCCAGGCATAGATAACCCAACCCAAATTCTTCAGCAGGTAAAATTTTGCAAACTAAGTGCTACCTGAAACAGTAAGAATAGGGTTCAAATTTCCAGCTCAACACTTCCCTTATACACCACAAAGCAAGTTCAAATTTGTCTTTTTACCCCAGAATACAGTTAATTAAAAAAAACCTCTTTTCCACACATCTAAAGAAACATCCTAACTACATTCCAGCACTCAAAATATCATCCTGCATGCATCAAGCCCAACTCACCAAATCTTCTTAGTTACACAAGTAAGATCAGCATTCGAACTTTACCATCATTTAGTCAGCCAGGCATAAAATATCCTAATACACCTCAAATATCAACACTTATTTAGTAAATCTCTTGAACGATATAATAATTGAATCTTAATTTCTAAAATTTGAACTCCAGAAGACATGTCAGACCTTCAGCATTAGAAACAATGCCTTTTAGAGAGAGGAAGAAAAATATCATAACCATATACATTTAACACATAATTACAAGACTAAGTCCTATAGTTCAGTGTAGGATGCATACACTTAAGTCTCATGGTAAACACTTAGATTCCTAAGAAGGCTAATGGTGGATGTCGTTTCCTCTGTGTGGATATTACAGGGGAAGAAGAGATAGCAAAGCACTCCAAAAATTCTTGTATACTAGGAACATTTTCATTTGGAATGAAAACAACCAAAAAAGAAAAAGCATATAGAGTCCAATATTTGCATTTCCTACTTTTACTAATAAAGCAACAGGAGAGAAATCACCCACTCTCTAGCGCAAGACTCCACATCAATGATGCTCTTGTAACAATTTTGCTAATGCACGTTCTTTTTCTATAAAAATGAATTCTAGGTTTTACTTTTACACCTTCATATCTTTCTGTAAATTCAAAAATTTAAAGAAAGACAGAAACAAAACTATTCAGGAAATAGCAATAAATCTCCTCAGAATTACCATCATTTGCACCAAATATAAAGGAATTAAGATAACCTACATACCACTAATTAACCAGGTGCATCAACAAGCCCAAGCAAAAGAAGAGAAGGTGAGGAGAGGAGGACATTTATCCTCTCATGCAACATTGCCTGCCTCAAATAGAAGACTAATTATATCAAGGTTTGGTATTACTACCAAGCTAGAACCATAATTATTATCCTCCCAAAAATTTTATCCCCAATTCCAGCCCATTATAGTCTGGAGTGTCCTCGATCCCATAACAGTAGTTTCTCAATTCTTCAACTTTCCAAGCCCCATACTATGTCCTACAACACCCTCAAGTGCTTGTCATTATCCACTTGGATAAAAAATTTCAATAAACTTTCACCAAGCCTCCAGCTTTTAACATGGACATGTTCAATAGTGTTCAAGGCAACATCCCATGGAGGATCATGGCAGAAACTTGATCACGTTTGTTTCAATTCACTAGAAATTCATCTCCAATTCACAAACTAAGAGATAAAATTAAATCCATCTAAATGCATACAGCACACAAAGAAAATTAGTATTCTAAAATGAAAACTAGTGCGCAGTCCTGCCAGTTGAATCAAGCTTCCGCAACAAAACAGAAAAGAAAGTCCCAAAATATAACAGTAAAGCCCTAAATCATACAGGAAAAGAGCTGCAAACTAACTTAGCTTATCTAAGAGTAGACCACACTTAGCTCTAAGAATCTCTACCAAATCCTACACAAATCAAGTTAAACAAAACAAGCCATGCTACCACCTTGACCAAGGTGCAGGCCACAGGGTAGACCACCTTAATCCCCCTAGAAGATCTAGTCTTTTGAAAATAGAGAATGAAGTACATAAAGTTGTTAATGGAATTGAAACTAAAATAATTTCCACCAAGACCTTGCCAAATTCATCCAAATGGTTAAGACACATTTCCAAAATTTAGTATAACGGATAAGAAGCTGCCACTAGAATACAACATAAAATCGAAGAAAAGAAATCTTCAAGTCATAAACTAAGTTGGCATCACTGGAGTTAAATAACTACCCTGCCACAGACTCAACATAAATCTTCCAATCACTCCAAAGAAAGGCAGCACCAAGAATTTTCCTTCTTCTCCCAGTTATTCACTTTCTCAGCAACCCAAGAGATCCTCGAACCCATAAATTCCGCTGATAACCCAAAAAATTCCATTAAAATCTCGCTTTCATCGCAAAAACTAGAAAAGATCGGGACTACACCACACCACTGCCAACCCATCCAAACACAAAATGAAAAACACAATCAACAAAATACCTGCACAGACCCAGAACGCCAAAAGCCTGGAAGAAATTGGTAAATCGGTGTCTAGAAGAAGATAATTAGGGTTTCACATAAAGACAGAAAATGGGTACTTACAAAGTGGTTTAGATTCCTTCAAAGGAGCTCGAGAATCAATCCTCTGAGAGCGTCGAAATCGCGAAGCGTTAGGGTTTGAATCAGAGAGATTGAAAAATGCGAGTCTTGAGCTCTCAGATGGGGCGGAGAGAGATGAGGTGATCGAAATATTTACGAAATTTTCAACGAACCGGGAGAGCAAAACCGAGGTTCGTCTCCGAGGCTGAGTTTGGAGAACCGAGTCTGCGGTTTGGATCCGAAGCTGAGGTAGCTCGAAGAGGGAGTGTACTGGTGATAGGGTAGGATGGGCATTTACGGAGGGCTGGACGTGTTGGGCAATACTAGAAAGATCCGACCCGCAAGCAGATTGGGTAACGGGTCAGGGTTTATCCAGTTAACGTGTTCTATTAATCTCAGCTCATCAAATGTTTAGTTCGACGCAAATAAATGGAAAGCCGGCAGAAAGCAAACAATATCCTTCCATTTCCTTTTATTTTCCTTTCCTTTTAAGTTTTTAACCTTTTATTTTTTTAATTTAGTTATATTAAAATTAAAAAAAAAAAATTTAATGGAGCTCCGACTCTTCCTTCCCCTTCCCTATTCATTCCCTTGTCTCTCTTTCATTTTAATTTTTTTCTAAATAGTGAAATTTACCGCTTTCTTTCCTTTGGTTATGATCCTAATTATCATTAAATTTTTTTTAAATTATTAAAATTATTATTTTTTTATTTACACAATGAAAAGTAATAATTTTTTATCCCTTATCTTATTTTACTTACATAACATATAATTTGAATTCAAAATCTCTTATTTTTAACAAAAAAAAAATTATCATTGAATTATTTAATTTATTGATAAATTTATTAAATTTTTATTTTAATTTAATTATTAATATATGTTAATAATTGAAAAAAATAGTTAAT